CACGACTTTGTTGGCACATACACACTCTCTTTGTAAAGTTTGCAATAACAGTAAGGTATGCATTCGGGTATATCCCATTGATAAAACGTCTCATTTCGGCATTTATTGCTTCGGTCGTCGCAAGCTTTTTGGCGTAAGGTGTCTTCAATTAATTCCACAACCAGAAGGTAGATGTCACACAATTATTTTGTAATCATCATTCGTCTTTGAGTGCAATCTAAAACCTTTTCTATAATTCAACACTGTGAGAAATTTTCCTCTCAACGGTCAATGAGCCACCGCTAAAGAGCAAAAAGGAGCGAATCCATGGCGAGTTAAAAAGCTCAACGAGATTACATTGTTGGTTAAACATAACTTATAATTTTGTTCCGTGGAAAGTGAATATCTCCGGTCTTTTCTAATGCATATCCACTGCCTTTTGCTGTGTTGTGTTCATCCATTTTTTATTAATTCTTGCTAAGCTGATCCACCTAATGTGGGTTAATAACGTAGGGTAGCTTATTACAATACATTTTAATTCATGGATTATGAAGGTTCAAAGATTGGAAAGGATAAGAATATCAACAACATTATGTGATTACTCTGCTCATCATCGTTAAATTTTTATTTCATTCAGCAAAGAAGTAATTTTCTGGCAATTAAAGATTATTACTGAATGATTTCTTTGTTGATATATTATTACCCAGCGTTTATTTACAAATTTTCACCCTCTTTTTCCTTGCCTCCGCTGATTCTTTTCTGGAGATCTATTCAATCGTTGTTGTTGTTGAAACTGTAGTCGTTGTTGTGCAGCATTTGGTGAGCGTTGGAGAGAGTGAGTTTTGGAACGATTTTTGCTCTTGCTATCCTCATAAGGCATCGCCATCACATTTTTAAACTTATCATCGGGTTTACGGGGCGTTCCATCCTCACCCGCAGCCTTAGTCCTCACAGGTTCCTGAGGAACAGAAAAGGCTGCTGAGCCTTTGGAAAGCCTCCTTAGCATTTTGTGGTGAGTACGTGGACTCACTAGCCTTTTTCCTGTTAGTGGAGGCATGTTGACCCGAACATTAGCAGCCCATTCCAGTATAAGAGGTCTAAAAAACTTTTTGCATTGCAATTGATGACTAGTGTAATAATGGAAATGGGCTAACCCTGTCAGATAATTTTCTATAGCTTCACGAACAATTCTTCTTGCTCTATGGTGGTCAAAATCGTTTATAGATCGTTGTATCAGATCGAATATCAGCAATATATACGGAGATTTACTAATACGACGCTCGCCTAAACAGAATTTGAGACATACTAAGTCAAAACCGTTAGGAACTACTAATACGAGCCGTTCATAACTTCAGTAAGAAAAGCTGGCTTTACGTAAAAATCCGTCGCGGAGGTCGCATCATTATATCTTTCAAGGGAGAATTTTCCAAAAGAAAGAATCAATATACCGTACTGCCGTAGGTGTATGGTAAAAACACGGTAAGAGGTCAACATCTTCCTGTCTGTAATATGATTGGAGGACAGCATATTTACAGTAGAATTATCCATCGTCACAGCGTCACACTATACAGATACGGTTGTTGAACGATAGGAGTTTATTACCGCGAATCTGTCCAAAT